CGAAAGCCATCCCTTGCCCGTCCCCTTGCAATGGAAAAATTGCAAAGACGAATTCTGTTGAAAAGGAAAGTGAACTGAAAGACGACGCTGTGAACTTCATAGGGACCTTGTGGAAAGCATGACTGGTGCTCTTCGTTGTATTATTTGTAAGATGCAATGGACCACCGTTGGTATTTGCCATTCCATCAAGATGCAGGTCTGCTTTACTGAAGTCATAGTGCACAAATTGATCCCCGTCTTGAGCGAACACCAGAGACATCACATGGATACAGATTATCATCCAGAAACCCACTGGTCTGAGAACTCCAGCCATATGGAACAACAATGATCTTCTCTCCCACCTTAGCTTGGGAATCTCAGTTTTTTCTGCACTTTCTTTTCCATGAGAATTGTATTTTCCAACTGCAGAAAACCCTGAGTTGACCTTTACATGGAGGACACTATCAAAGAGAAGCTAAGAAAGGTTCTTTCTTTTTGAATTGGTAATAGATCACTTCCTATACCATCATTTAGTTACTGTTGTGCGGTTTAATTTCTTTGGGAGTCCTATCCTCAAGACAAGTTATTATGGGTACAATGCTCTGAGCTTCTATTGTTCTGCAACTTTGCTTGTTGCATTCTAGGTGGATTATACATTGATACAGAAGGTTTCAGCTTTGATCTGATTTGTTTTCACCTGAATAAATATTTACCATGTCTGTGGCAAGATGAAGTAATTAAATCTGCATTATCACTTAGAAACCTAGTAGCTTTTCATATATATTGATATATACGACAAGTGTGGTTAAATGAGTTTTTAACTAGTCAGGCTCATATGTTTTCAGTTTGGATATTCTATTTGAAACTTGGTTATCCTACATGCGTGCACACCTCTTATTCTCAGCATTGGTATAGTGGTTTGAACAAGCATATTATAAATCAAGAAATGCTAGTTGCATGTAGTTTAAGTTCTTTGAATTGCTCAGCAGTGAAGGAACTGTTTTAAAATTATGTATATATATATGAGTAATTCTGAATTCAGATTGCCTCTTTCTTCTTTGTTGAAGTTGAAGAAGTCTCCTGCAGGCTGCAGATGATAATGGAGCTCTCTGACTCTCTTGGATATTTTGACTTGGCATGAAATGCAGTGATTCTCAACGGAAGCAACCAGAATAAATCTCTTTAATATGACAAGAAGACCGACCACAAGACAGGATCTTGACTTTACGACATTTTTGGCTTGCTTAATTACGGTCTAATTACTTTATTCTTTTGAAGATATGAAGGGAAGGGATGGTTCGCCCACACCTTCTTCAGAGGTGAGTGTAAAAAGGCTCGTATGTGGTCCTGACAGAAAGGAGATGGCCCGTGGATCCTTTCTACGAACAATACTCACAAGAAAACTACAAATGAGAATCGTAGGACAACTCTACTTGTGAAAATTAAAAGTGTTCCCCTGGGTGCATTAGTTGCGGTTGAATTGGGAATTCAGTAAATGCATACATTTTAATGGATACACAGTAAGGTAGAAGGTGGAAATTTTTTCACGAAGTGTTTGAAATTATGGCATTCTTCCACTGGTATCAAGTAACTAGGTTTATGACAATGATTCTGCTGTTTTGTAGGTTCTAGAAGAAAGTAGAATATTCCATTCTTGTGGGCACTAAGTGTCTGGAGATATCTCAGGCAAAACATTTTCATTTCATTCAACAAAGTTAGTAGCTCAAGCTTCAGTATCATCTCCGTCTACCTGTGGACATAGTCTCCTTTCAATCTAGCATCCCGGGGACTCAACACACCAGCCCAGCCCCTTGATGATATAAAACCATTTGCAACCAACTGAGGTTAGACTTTTCTTGATTATACAATAAGTCTTTTTTTTTGGTCATTTTCCCTCAAATATATACAAAATAAAGTAGCTATACTGAGGCAATACATTTGCAAACAACACATCACAAATACAATCATTCACATTAAAAGACATAGTTGTAGTAGAAAGATAATTTCTTGTTGTTACAGCAGCCTGTGATGCTGGCTTTAGCGACCACAAAATAGGATTGTAACATCCTCGAATGATAAATTAGCTGATGAGGACGGGGTTTTTAGTTTTGTTACTGATTCATGGCTTACATTGGGCATACCAAATCCAGCAGTATCAAATGATATACCTGGAACACTGACGTTTCCATCCAGATACTGTAATATCTGTCTCATACTAGGTCTGTTTTCTGGGTTACTCTGTGAACAGAGCATTCCTAGCTTCAAAAGCAGCTTGGCCTCCTCAGCATTAAAGTCTCTTAGTTTACTGTCAACAGTATCAGTTAGAGCGTCTCGCCTCCCGCAACTAGCAACCCATTTCACCAAAATCACTTGCTCACGTGGTCCATCAGGGTCTACTGGCCTTCTCCCGCAAACCACTTCCAGGATAAAAGCTCCAAAAGCATAGACATCGGTCCGAGTAGTGGCTACTCCCATTGCAGCAAGCTCTGGTGCCATATAGCCAATGGTTCCTACCACACGTGTGGCTTCGAGATTCTCACCACGATCATGGAATCTTGCAAGCCCAAAATCTCCCAACCTTCCATTTAGATCGGTATCTAAAAGAATGTTGCTAGCTTTGATATCCCTATGAAGTACAACTTGTTCCCAATCTTCATGAAGATACAAAAGGGCAGATGCTACTCCCTTGATGATGTTCAGTCTCTGAGACCAAGTGAGGTCTTTAAGCTTGTTTTTACTGAACAAATAGTCATCAAGGCTTCCATTTGGCATGTAGTCATATACCAAAAGCAATTCACCTTTCCTTCTGCAGTAACCAAGTAGCTGCACCAAGTTCTTATGCCTTAGCCTTCCCATACTAGCAATCTCTGCAACATACTGTTTCATTCCATGTTCTGCATCATGGTAGACTCTCTTAACCGCGATTTGTGTACCGGAGGGAAGTTCTCCTTTATAGACCTTTCCAAAACCTCCTGCTCCAAGTAGCTTATTCTCCCTAAAACCCTTTGTTGCTCTGTAGAGCTTCCTGAAGGAGAACCTCTGGGGACTATATTCCTTTTCCCATTGTTCCAGCACCTCCGCATACTTCTTTTTCTTGTAAAGATAAATAGTTCCTCCCAGTATCATCAGAAAAGCAATTGATGATATAGTAGTGCCTAGAATTATTCTCTTTATTGACGGAGAGGGTCGTGGTGGAGAAGATGGGGGTGGAGAGGGTAATGGCGGAGAGGATGGTGGTTCCGAAATCTTTGAAAGGTCAAGGCTTTCTGCTTTTCCGCCTTTCTTGAAACTCCATCCAAGGATATATTGGTCACTTCTGATTGAGCCTGTGGATCCAGAGAAACCTACAAACATGGTCTCATTGAAAATATCTGAAACATTGATGGATTTTGACAAGAGTGGCACATTTGGTTTGATGGAACTTGACAAGAAAGGCGAAACTGGCTTTGGAGTTGGTACTGGAGCTAACGTTACACTTAGTAGTTTCTCAATTCCATCATAATCTATCCAGATCAGAATACTTTTTCCACTAGCAAGCAGCAGGGTTATGTTCTTTCCCTCTTTATCATCAAAGAAACTAGCATTGGCAGAATCGACCGAGACTATACTGTTGATATCAATCCCTACATGGTTTCCGCTTTTGTCAATTGCTGTAGGGTTGAGACTAGTGTCAAGCTCTACCGCCAGGATATGGTTTTCAGTTTTGTTATCATTTGTTCTATTGAAAAGCCCTAAACCCGAATGTTCAGTGCCGCCATACCTGAGGTCTGTGGTAGGAGCTACCACAAAAGCCATTCCATGACCATAGGAAGGGGGGATTTGCAGTGGAATGATTGCAAAGACGAATTCTGTTGAAAAGGAAATTGAATTGGAAGACGACGCTGTGAACTTCATGGGACTTTTGTGGAAAGCATGACCTGTGCTCGTCTCTGTATTATTTGTTAGATGCAGTGGACCATCGTGTGTATTTGCCATTCCATCAAGATACAGGCCTGAATTCTTGAAGTCATAGTGCACAAATTGATCCCTGTCTTGAGCTGACACCAAAAATGTTACATAGACACTAACTATCATCCAGAAACTCAATGATCTCAGAACTCGAGCCATCTGGAACAGCAATGATCTCGGATTCTTCCCCACTTTTTGTTTTGATAACTATCTTGCAGATTTGGCACCTAGTTTTCAACCAAGCAGAAAACCCTGAGTTGACCTTTGCATGGAATACACTAGCAAGAAGATGGCCTGTGTAATCATTCAGACATTTTCAGTGGTATATTCTATGTGAAACTTGGCTATCCTACACATGTGCGCATATTTGTATAAATCAAGTCCGTGGAAAACACATTATAAATCAAGAAAATGATTTATATGATGATGCTATTAGCTTATATTATAAATCGCATGGTTTGAACTAGTCCGTTGAAGGTAGTTCTAATTTCATTGACTTTCAAATGATGATGATGGTGCTATCAGCATATATTGATTTAGGTAACTAGGTTTATGACAATGCTTCTGCTGATTGTAGGTTTTGGATGAAAGTAGAATATTCCATCCTTGTGGGCACCAGATGCAGTCTTTGTAAAGCGTGGAAATATCGATCCCAAGAGTGTCTGGAGACATCATAGGCAAAACATTATCAATTCCTTCACCATAGTTTACAACTTGGGTCATTGTAAGCATGTCCTCTGGCTTCTACTGCAAACAGAGTAGCCCAAGCTGTAGCATCTACATGTGGACGTAGTCTCCTTTCAATCTAGCATCTCGAGGAATCAACACGTCAACTCACTTCGTCAATGATGGAAAAACTTTGAAACCAACTGAGGTTAGAGATTTCTTGATTAAACAATAAGTATCGTTTTGGGTCATTCTCGCT